GCCAATGGGCATGGCTTGTCAAGCACTTCTTTCATTTTCTCCCTTCAATTTCAAAATCTGGGCTGGAATTCTGTTGGGCAGAGTGAAGATTGTACTGAGAAGGATTGGTAACCAATCTTTTTATCCCTGCCTTTTTAGAGACAGATGTTCTGGGACCTTATAACTCCAATCACACCATAACTTACTTGTGGTGGCATCTCATGTGGAAGTGGTCTGCTGAATGTCATTTACCCCAGGAGACAGGTTATTTCAGCACCTGAAAGAAAAAGAGAATGTATGAGGACTATGCAGAAAGATGAATCTGCATGTTTCCCTGCTGCTCAAGAAATTACACCACAGGCACTTTTGTGAGGAGAAAGAGGTGGGGGAAAAGCAAAAGTTATGAGGACGACGTGACTTGAACACGCAACCTTCTGATCTGGAGTCAGACGCTCTACCAATTGAACTACGCCCCCGTGTTGAATACAAATTCAACACACAAGAGATGGCACACTTTGAGGGTGGGGCAAAGACACGCGGCCAACCGCAAGTGCGCTGACAACGCGAACAATCATAAGGCAAAAATGGAGGAGAGAGTGCGACAATTCAATGAAGATGCACGCAAGAGCACCATGCAAACAGCGAATAAAGGCAAAGCCATTAAAGAAATTGAGCGGCTGCGACGCTTTCTGCACACAAATCAAAACTTTCGATTCACGGAGGCTGACAAGAACAATCTGTACTCCGCGATCGAGGTCAGCGTCCCTTCCACCTGCACCCATTGTCTTCACTGCGACCTCACACTTGGTGGCACTTGTTGTGCAGGCCTATCGAAGCATGTTTAGCAGCCCCTCGTCTTGGCAAGGTGCTTCCTTCGAGGTTTTTTCGTTGCACCTGCAGTGTACAGAGGCTTATGGCGGTGGCGTGCTGCAGGGTTGGGGACATCAAGTCCTGCGCTTCCCCTCCTCGAGGACGCACTGAAGCTGCCCTTCACCGTCTTCACCACCAAGCAAAAGCAAAAGTTTCTTAAGTGGTACGACGAGCTCAACGCCAAGGAGGCCTCCGCCAGCGCGCAACCGCAGCGCGAAAAGGTAACCGCATCTCATTCGCGTGCGGTC